GGCCCTGGTCCCACTGCCCAAGGTCCTCCAGGTTATCAGAAAATCAGCCATGTGTCACTCTGGCTTCCAAAAGTATTCACTATGCCATAGCCAATAAATGACAAATCCACTCCATCGAGAAATTTCTATTAACCATCTACTGGATGCAAGGGGTGGACACGACGTTTATGATCTCCCGGTGGGGATAAAGCCGACGCACAGGGAGCCACGAGGGACTGGCCTGGGACTGATTCGCCAAGCTCCGAGAAGTCACCACTCACTGAGCACCTATCATATTTCAGGTGGTTGAAATGTTTCAATGCAACGCTTCATTTAATTATTCAGCAATGATGTGAGGGTGGTGCTAAAATTATATCCCCTTTGCAGAAAAAAACAACAAAAAAAAGGAACCTCAGAGAAGCTAGGTAAGCTGGTCCAAGGTCACAAGACCAGTAAGCAGCAGAGTAGCAATCTGGAGCCCTGCCTACTCCATGTGACTGCAAAGCTTCCATTCTCTCAGCTACCCTGACTTCAGAAATACAGGCAAGTGGTTCCAAGAGCCAGAGAAAGCTCGGTGGAGGCAGCGGGCACCAACCCAGGTCCCGAAGGGAGCAGAGTACAGATAAGCCCAGGGGAGGAAGAGAATGAGGGCGCACTGGAGAGCCAGAGGAGTGGAAGTGAAGCAGAGAGACCTGACAGCGAAGTTAGCTCCCTGGTGCACCTGCCCATGGGAGCGCAGGTCTCATGTGTGGCTCAGGAGGGATGAAGTCAGGCAGGCAGGATGGAGTAAATGATACCATGCCACAGCAGCTTCCTCCAGCAAGAGGAAGAGGCTGCTGCTTGGCCTGCACAAGCCCCCAGGAGAAGAGGTCGCCCTCAAACCCAGGTGAGCTGCTGGAGAGTCGGCTCCACTCCCACACTGTCCTTCCTCCTCAGCTTGGGTGCTGCCTCCAGAGCCACCTCCCGCAGACCATGCCTCTCTCTCTCTCTTCTCCACCAGCCAGCTTAAACACAGACATCCCTCAGTGAATTGCCTTCTCCCTTTCAATTTCGACCTTTTCCAAAGCAGGGACCAAGCTTTTTCCAGCGATGACGTCAGTCAGCATTGCTATGCAATTGCTACGTGGAGCCCCTCTCCACACGCGAGCAGGTGGTGATCTTCGAGGTTACCTACGGTTTCAAGGGTGTGTGACAACAGGGCCACAGCCTCCTCGCTGGTATTTCTAGAGGCCTCCTACAGGGATTCATCCCAGTGGGAATTTCCCAGGGAAGTCCATGCCTGGCACACGGTGGAATGCCAGCCCTGGGTGGCTTGACATGAACTCCTTGCTTCCTTCCCCCCCCCTCCGGAAAACTCACCCCATCTACTGGAAATAATTTAGCCCTGTGACCACAACTTGGTGAACACTCCTAGCACGGAAACCTCAGCGGGCAGGGAGGGAGCAGCAGTTCTGGCTACAACGGAAAACAAGGCGAGCTCTTGCCAAGTAAGCACTTTGCACACAACATCAAAAACGGAACGAGTGACTGTTCACAATGGCTTCTCGGGAAGGTCTCCTAGAACCCGAAATGGAGAATCGGGGCCCGACACTTGTCTCTGGGGAGAACAGCGTCCCTTTAAGAAGAGACTGAACCAGCTGGCTGCACAGCAGCTCCCAGACTTGGCTGGGCTCGCCCCCTGGTCCCGCCCCCTCGCCTCCGGCCCCAGCAACGCGTGACGTCAGCGAGAATCGAAGCTACCATTGGCTGAACGGCTCAGCTAGGTCAAGTCCAGTCGGAGGAAAGAAGTTTGTCTCCATGTGGAAACCATGTGTCTCTAGCTGGGAGGGGGAGGAGGAGGAGGCGGAGAAACTGAGATCAAGCGATTACGGGGGGAACTCGGAGAAATGAAGGCGGGGAGGTTGTGCACCTGAGCCGGCCAGCTATGCCCTTTGCAGGAGTGACCTAAAAAATTAATAAATAAAAAGACTTGCACAACCAAACCAGAGACCACCTCCTGTTTCCCTGTTTCCCCCGCTCCCCCAGGAAAGAAACCTCATCATCATCATCATTCTGAAGAAGCTAAGATCCTTGCCTTTCTCCAAAAGCCCGAGACGTGGGTAACGCTCGAGCCCTATCGGAACGCCCAGGTACCCCTCCCTCCCCGAGCGGCAGAATGATGTAAGCGTTTCGGAAAGCAGAGCTCGGGAGCAAAACAAGCCCCGCGCGCGCCGAGCGACCCGCAGTGCCCGAGCCCGGCGCACGCACGACCCGCCCCCCGACTCGCGATATTGCTGTGCACACGCGGACCGCCGTGACGCGCGGGCATTGTGTGCAGCCAGCAGACAACAACGGCCAGCGCCGCCAGCGCCGGGAAGCGCCCCCAGTGAAAGCAGGCGCAGGGCCCGCCGATTTTCGCCCGGGAGACCCGCACCGGGCGAGGGGGGTGGGTGGGCAAGAAAGCGGGGAGGCCTGAGCGGGGCCCCCTTGGGCCGAGCCCCTGCTCGCAGGGCCCGGAGGATGGGCGCGCAGAGTTTGCTAAGGGGTCAACCCCCGGGCTGCCTGAACTGTTGGGAAGGGGGTTTGGGCCTTGAGCCGGCTCTCTCCAGTCGAACCGTGCCTGGCGCGGCGACCCACGCTCCCGGGGAAATCTGGGGACCTTGGGCATCACGTCATGTAGAGCCAAACGTCGGCGGCGAAAAGAGGCTTAGAGTAAAAAAAAAAAAAAAAAAAAAAAAAGCGCAAAATGAAAACAAAACAACACACACAAAAAAACACTCCCGTGGGGGAGCGGGCCGGACGAGGCGGGCTGCTGGGCCGGGGGCCGATCACCCACACGAAGTTGACTTTGGGGCGATCAGGGCTTCCGAGCACGTCTCTAGGGCCGGTGGGTTTGCAGCACGACCCTCTTCGCGAGAGGGGACAGGAGGAAGCCCTTTGGTTTCGCCAGCCTCTCGCGCCCCACTCCCCGCCCCGCGCGGCGCGCCCGGCTCTCTGCTTACGTGACTAGTGGCCACGCCGGAGCCCCGGCAAGGGGTAAACAAGGAGGTGGCGGCGGCCAGGGCGGCGGGGGGTGGGGCGGAGAGGTCTCCAATTGTCTGCGGGTGCCGGGCCGGGGTGGGAGGGGGCGGGGGACACGGGACGCCGAGGAAGCTCCGGTCGCCTCCTTCATATACCTCCTGGGGTGGGGGTGGGGGGTCAATTTGGCCACACGCTGCCAAGGTGCCCTCTTGGGTGCACCCCCAGGCAGAGCCGGCGCCACTGGGCAGACTCGGGAGACCCGGGGGGCGAAGGGGGCGGGGGGTGGCTAAAGAAATCGCGCCCCTCCCCCCCCGCAACAAAAGCAAACACAGCAAACAAAACCACGTCTTCATCCAGCTCCCCACCAGTTCGCGCTTTGGAAAAACTACCCTCCAGGCCAGAGCACACCCAGCTTCCCACCCCCATTCCCACCCTCCCCCGGTAAATAATCGCACAGCGATTCGTCTACACAGCTTGCAATGTGCCTTTCTCGCAGCCCAGGCACTCCGGGAAAACAGGCGAGAAGAGAAAGAAAAGAACGCACCCCCCCCCCCCAGCTCCCCACGCCAAGCCTCGTTTTGCTCTGAACAGCGCCGGCACAGACGCGCGGCGACACTGGCGGCTTTGATCGTGAAGGCCCCGTGTGGGTCAGCAGAGGCGTTTTTGTGCTTCAGCGTTGCCGTTGTTGTGGGGAGACGATACCTGACACGTTGCAGTCGCATCTCTCTCCCCCCACTCCCACCTCCCGTCCCACGGATCTTCCCACTGGCTCGGATACACGGACCGCCGCGGTTTCCTCCGATCTGTCGCTCTGTCTGCCTGGCCCCTTCCCCTCGCTCACATCTATTATTCCATGGATGGTGCCCGAGACGCTGCACACGCGTGCCCCGGTTAGGGCGCTAGGGCGCCTACCCGGGGAGGGCCGGGGGACCCCGCTGGCAGGGGCCAAAGGAAACAAATACAGAAAGGAAGCCGGGCCGGGGTGGGGCTCCCAGCGCTTACCCCCCTCCCTACATTGCTTTGCAACCTGAAGACGAGGAGGCGGATGGGGGCGGGGGGGGGGGGGAGAACCGGGAAAGCGTTTGCCTTCCTTAGCCCTGCGCCCTCACTCGGGAGCCGTCTCCAGGAAAATAAAGAAAACGCACACAACTGCCCCACACCTTCTTCGCCAACTATTGTTTCTGCGAGATCCCAAAGTTTCCTTCTCGCCGCGTCCCCCTCGTCAAGTTTCCCGGGCGCAGGACGGGAGGGTCCAGGACAAGCTGCTGGAGCTACCGGGTCCCGTGGCCTGTTTCTTTAGGGACGGGGGTGGGGGGGTTGGGGTGGAGGGACGATGGCACCCCAGGACGAAGGGCGCGCAGAGGGCCTGGGGTCGCGATGGCCGGAGCCCAGTCCTGTTGCAGGAAGGCAGGAACGCAAGAAGTAGTCAGGAGGGAGGGGGCAGCCGGCGCCCACGCCGGAGAGGCTGTGCCGCCGCCGCCGGTTGTTATTGTTGTGGTGCGCGCCTGTGTGTTTTCTTTCTGGAACCCCGAGCTCTGCCTACCGTGTCCAACTTTCGGCTTCTAATCCTTATCCTACCCGGGAACAAGCCAGAGCAAAACAACACTTGTCTGCACGAAGAGGTTCCCAGAAAAACAAAAACAGAAAAAAAAAAAAAATAGGGAAGAAAGGCACCCTCGGAGAGCTGGGCTCCGGACGCAGTTGTCAGCAAACGGCACGGCCCGCCGCGCGAGACGGACACACGGACGCCCCGCAGGCCCAGCTGCCCGCGCTCGTCTTTGTTACATCTCCGGCAGCTCTGGGCGTGCGTGCGTGTCCTTCCCCCGGTGTCATCGGCTGCACCGCCGAGGGCTGCGCGCGCGCGCGTGTGAGTGTGTGTGTGTGTGTGTGTGTGTGTGTGTGTGTGTGTGTGTGTGTGTGTTGGGGACGGGGGGCGCGGGCCGAGCCGGCGACAGGGGTCGCCCAAGTCGGAGAGAGAGGAGCCGGGCGCCGTGGAAGAGCCAGGGGGTCCCCAAACTTACTTTTGTTTTCTTTCTCGATCTGCTCCAGGTAGCTGGCGGCCTCGAGCAGGATCTGCACGTTCTGCAGGAAAGTGTTGATGTGCTTCTCCATCGAGTTCTCGCTGGTGTTGAAAATGTCCGAGAAGGGGCACCTGGGCCTGCCCCCCGCGGGGTCCTCGGGCTGGACCGGGGATTGGGGCGCGGCCGCGGCGGGGGCCAGCCCCGCGCCCTCGCCGCGCGCCTCCTTGCGCGGCCGCCCGCGTTTGCCCATGGAGGAGCCGGGGGTCTGCTGAGCTCGTCCGCTTCGGGGCAGGAGGAGTGGCCGGGGCCCGAGCGGCAGGCCCCCAGGGAGACCCGGCAGGCTAGGAGCGGAGGAGGCGTCGGAGCGAGGAGCCGGCCCGACTTCCCGAGGAGGCTGGTGGCGTGCAGTTGTGTGTGCGCGCGAGTGTGCGTGTGTGTCGGTCTCGCTGTGGGTCTGTGTGTATGGGAGATTGAATGAACCTACAGGACGGACGGAGGCGCTCTGGCGCTGGGTCCTAGCGCGAGCCCGTCGCCGGCGGAGCGGCCACAACGGAAGGTGGAGACCTGAGCGGCCTGCCTGCCCCCGCCTCGCCCCGATCGCGCTCGCTGCGCGGAGTGCACCTGCAGAGGGAAACAAACTCCTGAGATGGTTGTTTTCTTTACAGAAAAGAAAAAAGCAAAACAACGAAAAAAACCAAGAACCACCCTACCTCTAAAGCAGTCCCTGATAATGGTTGACTGCTATCACTTTTTTTTTTTTAATAAAAAAAGCAACCCAAAACCATCCCATGTAACCTGATGCTCGTCGTTCGTAACACACACACTTCTACACACAGACCTCCACAACACACGTTTATTCATTGCACACCTATATACACTCCTTCACACACACAGTCCCCCCAATACACTGCTGTCTACACTGTGTACACTCCACACACACCCACACAGGCAGCCACTCCTGCGCACACCACGGGACTCCTACACACACACACCTTCTGACACACACACTTCTACACAACACGCGTGTGTACAGAGGCTTCTACACACACTTCCTTAGCCGCTCTACGCTCTCACAATGTGGCATGCGCATTCCTGCACAGCTCTCCTCCACACACTCACACTTAGACACACACACCTGTGCGTGCCTCCACAGTCTAGTGAAGCCCACAGGCTGCCCAAGGCCTGGTTACAGATGGATTCAATCCTTCTTCCTCCTTCACATGCAGTCTTTTTTTTTTTTTTTTTTTTTTTTGCCAGGAAGGGGGAGGAGGCGTAAGCATCTCTCTCCACACTCCTCCCCAGCCCTGGTCCAGCTGTGTAAAGCTCACTCAGGGTGCCCTGCACCTGGCCGCCTTTGATTTGACAGGGAGGCGGGAACTGTGGCGCTGGAACCACCTCCCCTCCCCTCCAGCTGAATTCCTACTTTTGGCTCTGAAGCCCCCTGCCTCAGTTGACACGGATGTTTTCCAGCCGCGGGATGTGGTGGGGGTTGGGGTGGGGCGGGGAATGGGGGTGACAGCTGAGGGCTGCTCTGCAGTGCCCTAGCCAAGAGTTCAGACCCCAGCTCTGCCACATACAGACCTAGTGACCTCCGTGACCTCGGGCGAGCTCCTTAACCTGTCGGGGGCCTAAGCTCCCCGCCCCCCGAAATCTCTGAGGTCGTGTGGGTTGTATTTGCACTCAGCAGGCTCTGGCCCTTAGGACTACAGTTCCTTCCAGCCCGCACCCTTTGATAGATGTGACTGTCATCCAGGAGAGGAGCGGGCGCAGTGTCTGTACCTCTCTGGAAAACATCTCCACAACAAGCTCATTGCCACCCAGGAGACCTCCTCCAGGGGACCCTTTACAGGGCGGACTCAGCGAGTGGCGCCCCCTGGAGGTGTGCGGTGCTCAGCCGGCCCAGAGGCAGCCACCAAGGCTCCCACTGGAAATGGGCTTTGCTGCAGCGAAAGTACACTTCTTAGTGTTGTCTTACAATACATATATAGGGCCTTCCAGAAAGCTCCTGTGGACTTTAAAATCTGTAATAGCCTGTTGCAGGTGTGACAGAATAAAGATTGGCATTTTAAAGCCCATGTATTCACATCTGGGGCTACAACATAATAGTGCACATACTCTTTGCTCACTTTCCATCTTGTGACAGATTTGGCATGGTTGAGTTCCACTTGTGTATGCCAGTTTGACCAGGGCAAAGTAGAAGCTTCTAGAAGCCACGAGATACAAGTTCATCTTCCATTATCAAAAACAATGGCTGACCCTTTGCTTCTGTCAGAACCACAACCTTGAGTCATTCATGTTCGAATGTCTGCCAGGAAAGTCTAGTCTATGCAGCTAGCTTCACCCAATGCCGTTTTGCAAAACCTGTCACTTCCTGACCCAAAGGAAAGATGATAAACAACGAACCCAGAGAAAATCTTGGTTTCTCTTTAATTCCTCTGTGAGAAGTGGGATGGGTCCCATACAGGATACTTCAACACACGTGTGTGTGTGCATGCAGCACTCCCAAACACAATGCCAGGGCAGAGCAGCCGTGCTTGGTAATTATTTATTTATCCTTATTCCATTGCTCATAGGTCTGTGAGCTACAGAGCCCAGCGGGAATCTTCAAGCTGGGCCACGGAACCAACCAAAGCCAAAATAAACAATGGCCTGAAGAAAATCTACAAAAAAAAAAAAAAAAAAAGTGCTGATTTGCACTATTCCCACAGTTGGCCACAGCCCCCACTGCCATTCCCATGGAAAACACCCCGGCTGGTGCCAAACCAGGTCTTCCCCCCTTCATAGGGGGCATTGTTTTTTCTTATTATGTGAGTTCTTAGCCCCAGACAATGGCACCGCAAGAGACACAGAGGAGGCAACAGAACTGCCTTTTTGTTCCATGATGTCTACGCTGTTGTGCCCCCAGAGTGGCGCAGGTGGTTCAGTGGCATGCACTCATGTTGGTACCATACATGTGGAACCACCAGTGCGCCCAGCTGAAGCCCGAAGCCTCTTCCTTATGTGTTTGTCAGAGCCCATCGAGTGTTAAATCATATCAACATCACATTGCTCTCTCTCTCTCCCTTCTCTCTTTCCAATCCCCAATTAGCAGATTTCTCTAATAGAGTTGGCCCCAACAGAAAGAATGATGTTAGGGGGCTTATACCACAGGACAGGCATCCAGGATGCCGGATTACAAGCTCCGTCCCATTCCCAATTAGCTTTGCTTCCCAGGAGAAGCCATTCAGATCCTCTGCAGCCATCCTTCTCCCTTCCCTTCCTCCCCAGCTTTGATTCCAGAAGTAAACAGGCTTCTTTGGAAATTGCAGGGACCAGGTAGGGGATGAACACAAAGCTGACCTCCTAAGCAGGTGTGAACTCTGGGAGAGAAAAAGCAAACATGCCCAATGAGGTCAGCTGGCTGCTCCCGGTGGGCCTCAGCTGCCTGGCAAGACCATTCAGGCCTGGCCCTTGGTTTCCCAACCTTCTGAATGTCCCATCGGCCTGTTTGGTAATATTTTTCCACTGGCCTTGTTTGCATATTAAAGAAAGATTGTTCTCTCTTTTATTTACCTCTCTCTCCCCCCAGACATTCTATATGCTCACATCAAAGGAGTTGTTTTGCCTATAATTATGTCTTTATGTACACAGAGGCTGGTTAATTACTGAGAAGGCAATAGAAAGGTCGCCACGGAGACCGGCCCATCTTCGCTTTCGGATGGGATGTTCTTCTTGCCGTCACGGGTCGTTTGGGCCTTCTGGCTCCCGAGCTCTGCCCTTCCTCCCTCACCCATTCTTTTCTTCCTATCACTCCAACTCTTAGCTTTTCCTTGCGTCATGATGGAGTGTCTCAGACAGATAGCCCTGTCCCTTGCATTGTCACTCATTGTCACATACATCCCGAGCCCCACTGCTGGGCTCTCCCAGTCATGCTGGTCCTAAATGCCTTCCCCTTTGAAAAGGAAGCAGGCATCTACGCGCTGCAATGAGGTTCCCTGGCCCTTCTCTCTGCTGGTCTTAATCCAGCCTTCAACTGTTAGAAAGGAGGGAGAGTGGGTTAGAGACTGCACCATAGAAGCGGAGTGGCTGCTACAGAGAGAACTAGATGGTTCTGCTTGTCCCATTCGCTGAAAAGTGCTGACAAGGCCTCCTCCTATCACTCCCCCATGCCCTCACCTCCACCCACACACTCCCCAGTGGGTGTAGCCTTGGGCAGGGGATACACAACCCCCATCAGACAGTGGAGCTCCTTGGAGCCACCCGCTCCCAAGACATTATCGCCGCTCTCCTGGATTGGGCACACTGGACCGCTGAGTCCGGCGAGCCCTTCCTGGGACTTCCCGTACTTATTCAGTAGACCATAAACTCATCAAGGGTAGAGGGCATGCCTCTCTCCCCTGGCAGCTCCAGCCCCTGGCATGCCACATGACACATGCCTGACACCAAGTAGCTGGGTGGAGCTTCAGAGCTGACCCTTTAAGGCTGCCTTGCTCCAATGTGGCAAGAAGAAGCATCTGACGTTGTCTGAAGAAAAAGAAAAAAGATTCCTGCATCACTAACATTAAAATTTAAATATCTAAATGCTTTTATGTGAATAAAGCCAAGAACCGATCGAGTCACATGGCCGAGGTTCCCTTACCAAAAAGGACAACTCAGCCGTCCTTTCCCCTGCCCTTGCTGTTGGTGACCGAGCTGCTGGTGACACAGGACTCCTCTGTAGTGAGATGCCTCGGATGGAGAATATTCAAAAGTTTCCTAGGCCACTAAGGTATGATTCCTCCTAGGGACATTTGGCATGAAAGATGGGAGACATCTTATGTTGAGGGGAGCCGTTCCTTCTGATGAGACCCTGGACATCAGGAGCTGAGAGTGCAAAGCAGCTGGTGGCCGAGAGAGGGTCTGCTTGTGTGTCATTGCTGGCTGAACTGCTCATTCACGGCCGCTGAGCCTCCCAGAGTCTCAGGACTGTCACCTGCTGAGTGGGAAGAGTGATGTTTGCCCTGCTTCAGGGAGATGCGAAAAGGACTTTGGAACCTTGAACGTCTTGTGTTGTGTCAAGAGTCCTGGCAGCTTTTCAGATAAGACAAATGACCACCAAGATGGGACCAAGAGTTCCAAGACCAGGTTGGGGCCAACTCTTCCACTGCACTCCTGTGGGATTTTTTGGAAAAATAATCTTGTCGCCTGGAGCAATAGGGCTATTGTCCACCAAGAGGAGGTTCCACTGGCACAGACGTTTGGTGTCTTCTCCATGCCACACACTTCCTTTGATTCACCTTAGGTCAGCATGACCCTGTCTGCTGGAGCTGTCAGGCCAGCATGGCACCCGTACTGGACTGGCAGAAATCTAGCCAAAAACGAAAGAATTTTACCAGGTTTATTAGGTCATGGGAAAAGCTTATATCATATTGGAGCTTTCTTGAAAAGCCAAAAAAAGGGGGGAGGGTTCTTTAAGAAGTTCTGGGGGTCCAGGATGCCCA